TAGTTTTTTTTCCAATTTGATGTTTACGTATAATTTTGTTTGTGTTTCGGTGTGGTGATATTAATCGGCCGTGGTCTTTCATTCTTTTCCCATTATAATATTGTTTTTTGACATGTCGTGCAGTGCGTCGGTACCTACATACTACCGTTGTTTAATATCCGGGAACTGATATAGAATCGAGTACAGTTTTGACAATTTTAAACACGCGCTCATATATATATATCCACGCTTACGATTCATATGTTTATCTATCATTACGTGTTTTTTTAATTTTTGTCAATATTTGAAATAATTTTTCAAACTATTGATCGTTACGCATTTCCGGTTTTTCTTTTTTTTTAGTGCATCACGTGCCTTGTTCGGTGGACTATATGCCTATATTTCGTCAGTCTTAGCTACGCGCTGACCGTATACGCGGGTGCACCATAGGACTGACGAAGGTTTATCTGATCCGATCTATCCTTAGGGGAGGGGCATACAAATATCTGGTATATCTTGCGATCACAGTAGTATTATATTGAGTATTGACCCATCCCCGTCCACGTTTCAACAGAATAGCTGATACGTCAGGACATTTTTGCCCACCGCTATATGCGACYTCGTTACTTATCGTCCCCATACATATCGTGTCACACTTAAAACAAACTGACGCGTATAACAACTATAACGTCGACGGAAAGGTATGAGMAAAAGAAAACTTTTCCCAAGTTCCCCGAATATCAATGCTATTCAGGTTTGTACCATCGGCCGTTCGTAAGACGCATTGTATCAACAATTTCCGTATATGAATCCACGTAGGTACGACCCACGGGGATAGATCGGATGAGATAATATACGTGAAATTCATATATATTATAAATACTAAATAGTATATATACACAAACACACACACACACACACTTATACAACTGTGTGTATATATATATATATATATGAGTGTATAATATATATGTGTGCTCGTATATGTTTATGTATATCATATTTACATAGGTAGTTATATACGAAAGACACGTGATTCGTTTTTTTTTTTTTTGTGTTTTAGGTGAAAAATTAAAATATTAACTGTCACACGTATATAATAATTGAATATATATGTTGGACGTGCGCGACGTCGTTTCGTGTGCGGACGAATTGTTTGATGTGTACACGTTTTGCGAGGTGTCGGCGTCGCCAGCCGCTCATTTTCGCCGGCGATAAACACGATGATCGGGCGTGACGGCGCTCGTGAGTGCTGTGGGCGACATTATTTCGGGCAAACCGCTAGTGGCCGCCAGACGTTTAGCGGCACATAAACTTTGCTGATACGTCAACAATAATTATAATATTAATTGTCCGTCCACGCGCACCTCAACACAGCAACAATATGCCGGCGTATGTCGTTAAAATGTAAGTTTTCTTTCAGTTTTCACTAGCAAGTATTGTTGTTTMGTTTTAATTTTTATTCGAGTGACGTAATCATATAGCATGGTTGTCAGTGGCATCGTGAACCAGCGTTGGGCACTTGGACACGTTACAGTACTTAATGTAACTGGATACAATTAATAGTTACCTACTAGTTATATAATGTTACATATTATATATATTTAGAATAATTGATTTCAAGTTTAAACAAATATGAAATAATCATATATTGTTTATATACATTAGAGCAGTCAATCAATAAAATACAATACAAATATATGAAATGCCTAGAGAAATTGGACTTTTTGATAAAAATATTTAAATATTTAATTGAATATTAAATACTAAAAATGCCAAGACTTAAATTATTTAAAAATAATTAATTTTGTGTAACTTATTAAAGTACTTAAAGTCTTATTTTTACTTGTATAACATATGTAATAACTTACCTATAAATATTATTGAAATCCATTCTCCTAAAAAAAGATGGTCGAATGTTCGTATAACAAACTGATTTATTTTATTTAGTACTTATAATACTAATACGTAAAGTATTAACTTATTATACAGTATTTACTAAAAATATATAATTTAAAATAACTAACCATGGGAATATAAGTATATAAGACCACATTAATATTATTTAAATATAAGTAACTAATTCACATAACATTGATACATATATTTAATTGATTACTGCMCATCCTTGGTATCACCTTATCATTTCTTTTAATTTTAGAAGGGGTTTGTGAATAGTTGTGCTTTTATTTATGTATCAAATAATAACAATGATGTAGGTATAATACTTATTATTATATCAATTATCAATTGGCATTTTTTCCGTGATAAATGTTTTATTTTTATCATTTATCACGAAAACTGTGAAAAACCTTAGTATAATTTATACTTGACACCCCTCCGCTCATCATTTCATAATTCTGGCTACGCCACTATACTGCCAGTACCTTCTTTATTCACCATCACTCCATTGCTTTGGTGATACAATTTTATTCTTATTGTAATATTATATAATATAATGTATTTAAGATTTATATATATTTGTCTACTTATTCACTTATGTATAGTTACGTCCCAAACGATGACCCCGCAGGCAACTTATTTAAGTACTCAATAAACTACCTTATGGTGCCGAATAGTAGTATTGTCGTCGTGACGAAATTGTATTGCATTATATGACATTATCGTGCAATGCATAGGTACATAATAATTAATAAGATATTGTCGCGGTAGTAATGGTTTGCGGCAATAACCTATCCTTACTATAGATTTTGGTTTTCGGACAAAAACACAATCAATTTAACTTACAGTACATAACAAACTATATTGGATAACTTGAGTTGGCGCGTGTATACGTGGAAAGTTGAACGGTCGAAAGTTGTGGTCTATATTTATACGCGGTGCTAGCTCTCCCGCGAGCGCGTCGAGTTCAACGACCGACTCGAGTRTATGTGTTTGTTGGGTGCGCAGAGGCGCGTTAATTGGCRACCGGAGCGAGAGAGAGACTTGCGACGTCGTGTTTGCGAAGAAYTGCAGTTAGTACATTATTTTATTTTGAATGTTTCTGTTTGACGAAGTATAAAACAAAAAAATTAATAATGTTCATAAAATAATTTATTTATTAAAATTTAAGTATAACTGCAGTGTTATAATGTTAACTAAAATAATTKTTTATCTATTATGTTAATATGTTATTATTGTGTATACTTGTTGGAGGAAAGTCGATGTCAGCAAACCTGCAGTGGGAAGACGAAACAAATATAATAATAGTAAAAATATATAAATAACCAAACGTAAAAGAACCGGTTTAACTGGCCTTGGCCTTGTTCGGCGTCACGGCTTCTTTACTTTCTTAAAAAAACAACAAAAACCGCATGTATTGAATTTTGTTTGGTTGACGGAATAACGTCATGAGCAATTTTTTATTTATTACTCATTTCGTTGTTATTATGATGTATGGGTTTCTTACATCAYCCGATTGTAAATTGCCACAGATATAAATTTTGAAAATTCTTAGATTGATTATCGATAATTTAAGATGATATAAGTATATAATACTGATCTAGCTCCGAATTAGGAAAAATCGTGACGAGAAACGGAGGAAATCGGTTATTTGTTTTCACGTTCTCGGTGTACAAATAATAACTGAGGGCGGCGTTGCGGGGTCGTTTGGGGTCGTTGCCTCATTACTGACCTACATTCAGATTCCGAACGAGAGCAACGACCGCTCGGGCTGCGTTCGAGCTAGCGGTGGCGGATAAGTAGTCGACGGGTGCCCAAAGACCGCACGTGTAAACTCGACGCTAACGACAGATCTTTTTGTTCGTCATATTTTTTCGGGTTCGGCGTTCTCTCCCCCATTATACTATATTATAATAGAAACTCATACCCTCTTGCGTCATCCCTTTTTATAGTATTATCGTTAACTTATTTCTGTTTGTTCAGATACCGTCATATCATAATAATATTGTAGTCGTGACGTCACTGTATGAATTCCGTAAATATTTTCTATAGATTTTTCTTCCATTCTTGGTTATTGTATCGATAATATTATTTGTTAGTACTTATTAGTAAGACCAGCTGTTAAATCTTAGTTATCGCGTACCAGTGCGGTATAATAGCTGCAAGCATATACAAGTAAGGTTGTAAGTGATATTGTAAAAATATTTCACGTATGTATATTGGATTTTTTTCGACTGCAACAATTGAAGGTTGAGGTCTTATCATCAAGTTCATAGACCACACTCGCATACAAAAACACACATATATATTTGTATATTACACTACATACGCGATACGCTTATAAATGTACGAGCAAACGTTATTATATATACTATTTTCATTCGTTATCAAACGTACCTATACTGTTTTCAACAGAGCACGTTGAAATTCACATTGAAGTTAACTAAAATATCTTTCTCTATAACACAAGGTAAAAAGTTTAAAACTTTATAGCTTGTAACATGTATACTTAATGTGAGCATAATTTTTKGTMTTCAAAGCGGGACACCTGTACCTACAYTTTAATAAGAAAACCATATAATTTTGGGTAAAATAACAATTTTTTTTATTGAATAAAAAACATTAATTGTTTATATGAAAAATGACAACAGAAAAATGCGATATTATATTAATCATAATAGTCTCCCAACAACTATGGATTTTAGTGTTTCACAGTATATTTAAAATATGTAGGTATACGTCATAATATACTGTTAACTGTATATAGATATAGTATAAATTTATGATTGTGATATGTAATCAATAAATACCTACCACATGTCGATTTTTCTTAAAACGGGACATTTTTAGGTTCTTTGGGGACAGCGGGACACTTATCTCGAAAGCGGAACGTATGGTCACGTTATGTATACTATATAAATGCATAATGTCCGAACTTTCAAATTTCTTTAAAAACTTGTATATATAATTATATCTTATTGTTCAAAAGCATTTTAGAAATAAAACATTTTAGTAAATTACTTAGTTTATAGTTTTAACACTTTATTCAAATCTCATAAATTTAAAATAAGTAATTAAAGCCAACTCACGCTCTGCTTAAAAGTAGTAGATATAACAATGTATTTTGTTTTATTAAATAAAAAAAAAAAAATCATATTATTATTAATAATAACCCTTTATCATCTTACATCTGCTTATTAAAATGGCATTAGTTATGTTATACTGTGTTTTGTAAAGTAAATAGTAATTGTATAACATCAACTGGATAATATATTATGACAATGTATGCAGTAAAAGCCAGATACATAAACTAATAAACTATAGACCTTTTGATTATGAAGGAATCCCAAAAATTGCATTCTTCATGTTTAAAGTTCTTAGGAATGTTTTTTTAGTGATGGTCAGTATCAGTATACAATAGTTCATTGTAAAAAATTAACAACAAGATACAAGAATTTCTAAATAAAAKTAATGAAAACAGCTGATTTTTTTGCTAAAACCTTAAAAATTATAAGGTTGAAAAATATATAAAAATATAGTTGTATAGATAAAAATATTTCCAAAAACTTAATACTTATTGAAATAATGAGTATTATACAGAGCATTAGAAATAATAATATAATAAATACGCAAGTAATAAGTGTAATAAATTTATAGCCACGTACATTTAAAATTGAAAATTATAAAACTGTGTTCAATGTTCAATTCTAACTTTTTTCCGTTTTCTTTAGTTTCAAATACAAACAAAACTAAATTAGAAGTTTGAATGTTTTAGTCTTCTGTTTATCGAGAATATAATAATTTGATTATTTTTTTTTTTTTATTCACACAAATTATACCACATTTCAGTTCCAAAAGCATATCCTACAAATATTATTACCTATATGAGTCGGTAAAGTAAATAATCAACAGCTAAAGTGGGCGTTATTGTTTGTATAATACTTTATTCAAACATTCATATAAATTATAATTTACTTTTACAGGATTTCACTAAAATAATCTGAAACTTATACTCAATATATTTCTACTCCACATTAAATTCAGACGAATAATTCGATTTTATAACTGTTATAATTATTAATAATACATAATATTGTTATAACCCTGCAGGTTACGTTATTGCTAAATAATATATAGAGAATTGTCATCGCTACAATTTTAAATCATAAATTGTTATAATAATATTGCATTTTGTGTGCATTTGTATAAGCAGTAGTTATTGATACGGCTATATATTTTATTTTACAGCGTTTGAGTATCTACCTCAAAGAGTCTCACTTTTTTTCGGTTTTTAGAAATAAATATCCTCAAACACTATAAAATTATTGCTCATTCCTAAAATTAATGTTTCTGGGTGCTGCAGTGCAGGCGGCGTAGTAGACTGTTTCGGCATTCGGCATTCGTTCTGCGTTGCGCCAATTGGCGGTCATCGAACAAAACAATGTGGTCGCTATCTCGAAATACGTCATTCAAAATATATCACATAATATAATATATATATCATC